AGCAGAGCCGCATCCACAGTTGTGGAGCACCATGAAATCGTTCGACCTGAGCTTGAAGTACGCCAGTTCCAGGTCCCTGACGCTGATGTCTGCAGCTGCCTTCAATACGGCCAGGTGCGCAACCCGCATCCTTGTTGAGGTTGTTCTTGAGGTCTCGGAAGAATCAGAGCCGGGCTCTTGTGCCCGACGACTGGATCGGGGCGCCCTTAGAAAGTCGATGGCGTTGCGTTTGATGGTGCTGAAGCGGATGGCCGCGCCCTTCTTGTCCACACCTTGAGGAATACCGCAGGGTACGCGATCATGAGGCTTGAGCCCAGAGTCGCCGTTGTGTCGGCACTGCACATCTGGCCGGATCTGGAGACGGCCCCCGTCGAAGAGGGAGTTGATCCAGTCGCCAAACATTTGCCAGTTGGCGTCCTCCTCGCCCGGCTCGCAGAAGAGCTGCACGAGCTCCCTCATCCTGAGTCCTTGCTCAACTCGCCTCGCCATATCTCGTATCGAAGGCCGTTCAAGGAAAGCTTGGTGGATGGACCATGCCACGCCGAGTTAGCTCTGCTTCGGTATGACCAGGGCCCCACTCAAGGCAACGGCCGCCATCAATGCATTCACAGCACAGGCCAATCGTTCCTGCAGTACGTTGACGCATCCCGCATTCTGATTCCGCACTCCGCAACGCTTTGTATGATGAAAGCTTTGTGTCGATTAGGGCCGACGCTGGGTCTAGGATGGCGTGTGAGGATTGTATTGGTTGCCAAGCCGGTTCTAGAGATTGCGAAGGCTGCGGGCGGACACGGTGTGGGATGGCTTGTGAGGTGTGCAGGGATTGCCAAGCGGGCTTTAGAGGTTGCGGAGGTTGCGGGCGGCCCACTCGAAGGCGACAAAGGTGGCAGCGTTGGCAAAGGGGCTTCGGACGAGCGTGGGGAGCAGGCCGCGGAAGAAGCCCTTGAGGCCGTCGGCTCGGAACGTCTGGCGGATGCAGTCGAGTGTGCCGGTGTACCTGCGCTTGGCTGGGTCGAGCGCGTCGGTCTGCAGCTTGGACTTGATGATGTCGGCCGGGTAGGCGGTGAGCCAGAGGCCGTAGCCGGCCATGGCGCCTGCAAACATGGCGTAGGTGCCGGGAAGCTGGTCTCGGGTGATGCGGTCGTTGGCAAGCTTGCGCTGGACGAGGGCCTCGTAGGTGAGAAAGTACATGCCCATGCCGTGGAATTCGCGCGCAAAGGTGGGCATCTGACCGCGGAAGACGCCGTGGAGGAGGCCGCTGCGTGCTGTGATCTGGCGGATGCAGTCGAGCGGGCCGCGATAGAGCGGGGGCGAGGGCTGCGTCTGGAGTCGGATGCGGATGTGCTCCACGGGACCGGCGACAAAGCTGTTTGCGAGGCCTGCGATGCCGCCGGCGAGGTAGAATTGCGAGTAGCTCAGATCGGCGGCGCGACCTGCGGCGAGGTTGGAGCTGGAAAAGTGACGCTTGAGCGCCTCGACCACGCCGAACTGGATGCTGACACAGGCGCCGACGCCGAGGAGCGGGGTGAGCGTTCCCTTGTAGAATGCCAGGGGTCCTTCGTTGCGCACGATGCGGGTGGCGCAGTCGAGCATGCCGGTATAGGTGCCTGGCGGCGAGGTCTGCAGACGCACCTTGAGGATGTCGAGCGGCTGGCCGACGAGCACCTGTGCGATGCCTCCGACGGTGCCGGAGAGCACATCCTTGTTGCCCTGCGAAAGGAGCGGCGCCTTGGGCAGCGAGTTGAGCTCGGCCATCGTCAGTGGGGGCGCTCGGTCGGGTCGGGGCAAGAGGTGAGAGAGATGGGGGTGGTGGTGATGGCGACAAGAGCCGAGCCAAGTCAATCCAAGCCAGACCACCACCACCACCTCGAGACCCCGCGATAAGCGAGCAGCACAGGAAGAAGCGAAGAATCACAAAATAAAATCGCCGTTCTGGATCCCGATCCCGTGGCTGGCTGGCTGGCTCTTACGGACGAGAGAGAGAGTGTGTGTGTGAGTGGTGGAGCGGCAAAGCGAGTCAAAAATTCTGGTTGGGAAGAGGCGGGAAAGCGTTGCCTATACTCCACATCCGCCTCGCAAAGGGTGCAAAGCATCATTCGCCTCTGTCGATTCGACCATCATCGGCACCATCCGAAGCCCTCTTGTCTAAAGCACATCGTCACCTCTTTGGCCGTCACATCCGATCACTCTTCGATCACCCTGTCGTCAAATACCCGCTCGAAGCGACCATCATGACAGTCGTGCTGCCTGGCGACGCTGTGCCTCTGGCTTCCACCTCGGCGCTCAAGCTCGGTCCCGGCCTGCTTCCCACTCCACCGCCATCCGCATCCATATCAACAGCCGCCGCACCACCACCATCGCTCACCGCCATACGTGCAGGCGCGCTCGGTCACATCGGCGCTTCCCAAGCCTCCTCCTCTTCCTCCAGCTCGGTCGCCGCATCCAAGCCAAAGCACGCCGATTCTGCCGCCGTATGGGTAGAGTCCAACACGCAACGCGTACGTCCCACTCGCTGCCTCATCGTGTCCCTACATCGAGCCACCAACGCTGACTGCCCTCTTGTTGCTTTGCTCTGCTCTGATCCGCATGCGCGACAGTACGTTCCTGCACCGGGCGACTCGGTGGTGGCGCAGATCACCAACCGCGGCGCAGATTCCTACACGGTCTCGCTCTTTGGCGCACACGCCGCCACGCTGCCCGCACTCGCCTTCGAAGGCGCAACCAAGCGCCACAAGCCCAACCTCAACATCGGCGCGCTCGTCTATGCGCGCATCGTCTCCGCCGACCGCTTCACCGAGCCCGAGCTCACCTGCCTCAATCCGCTCACCGCCAAGAGCGACGGCTTTGGCCACCTCAAGACCACCGACCATCGCGGCGAAAAGGTCGCCCACGCCATGCTCTTCCACACCTCCCTCGGCCTCGCAAGGAGCCTCCTCAGGCCCGACCATCCGCTCCTCGGCCTCGTCGCCGCTCACTTTCCCTTTGAGGCTGCCATCGGCCAGAACGGCGCCGTATGGGTGCGCGCCAACGAGCCCAGCCACCTCATCGCCGTCGGCCGCCTGCTCCACGCCGCAGACTTGCATCCTTCCGCACACTCGTCGCTGCCCCAACATCCCGACGCGGCGCAAGACGACCAAGCGCCTCATCCTTTGCATGCCCAGCACATTCTCGACCACAGAGCCCAAAGCTGGGACGCAAAGCGCGTCCGCGCGCTCATCCACGATCTTTTGTAGCATCCCCACTGCCGTCATTGCAATGCAGCGGCCGTCATCTATAGAAACAGTCGCATGAGTTCAAAAAAGACTGTCGGTGTCGCATGGCAAGACAAGACACGATGTTCGTCAGCTTGCTTCCTCGCGCGCGTGTGCGTCTGGTGCATTGCCAGTGCGGCCGTGAGCGCCCCGTGAACTTACCACCTCCGATCACGACAAAGCAGATGAGCGCCAGCGCCACCCGGTTGTTCTTGAGCGCCGATGGCGGCGTGCGGTCCTTCTTGGCCGGCTTCACAATGTTGCGCCCTCGCCTCTGCGTCTGCTTCTTGGCCTCGAGCGACTCGTCGCCATCCGCCTCGACGTTCTCCTTGGAGGCTCGGATGCGTGGCTTGCCCGCGTTCTCCCGCGCGCTCGCAGCGAACTGGGCATTCTTCGCCCGAATGTCCTTGAACGTAGGCTGCAAACATCCACACCAACAACGCAACATCCAACGTCAGCCTTTGCGTCAGGTTGGCCAGCCCGACGAAGCTGGAGCCAGGCTGGATGCTAGAGCGTGCGCACTCACCATGATGCAGATCGTATCGCCCAAGCGTTTGCGATGAATCAATGCCAATCAATGCCAATGGAAAGTCGAGCTGATGAAGCGAAGCCAAGCGGCAAGGGCAATCGTGATGGTGAGAAGACAGAAGCGAGCTCTTTTCCCCCACACTTTTTGATTCCCCTGCCGCTCCTTGCTTGCCGCCCATGCTTCCAGCAAGGCGACCACGTCGACCCTCGCTCGCGCGTTTCGCTGCTCGCGTGACGCCAATTTGGGCCGAATTTAGGCCGAAATCGAGAGCCGCCTTCGCCCACGAGCAGGCTCTCAGACTGCCACCCTGCAACTCGGACAAGCATCTGGCGCTCCCTGGCCTGCCCGCAACCACACTCTGTTCGTCGCCAGCAGGCACGAGACGATGGGTCTGCAATCATGTTGGTGCTACAATGAAATGATGGTATTGCACACTCCCTTTGCCGCTCGGTGTGGTCTCTGGCGCGCACAGCTGTCTTACTGCGACGCCGACGAGCCCACAAAGCCGCCGCCGCGACGCATGATCTCCTGCTTGGAGCTGAGCATCGGTGCGGCGCCTCTGCTGCCCGTCCTGGCAACGTTGGCAGACGGGCCCAGCGGCAGCGCGCTCTTGCCCGCCGACATTGCTGATGACGACGCCTGCGAAGCGCCGCCAGCCGTAGCCTTGGGCGCCCTCACGAGATTCGCTTCGTTGCCCCACTCGGGCTCGGCTTCCTCGAGCGTGTCTAGCGACATGGACAAACTCTGGCTGGCCAAAGCTGCCCTGCGCGCAGAGGCGGCCGGCCTTTTGAGCAGCCGCGCCATAAGCGAGAGCGAACCAGATGCTTCCTCGTCGCCTTCGCCCACCCCGGCCGAGGCTACGGGCTGCACGTCTACATCCATGCATTCAGCCTCCTCGCGAGCCGGCGCTGCGACAGTGCCTCGTGCTTTGGCACGTCCGTACTGCATACCAAGATGCGGTCTGCGAGACGCTGGAGCGGCAGCATCAGCACCGCCCTCGACCTCTGCCGAACCACTGCCGCTGCCATCGCCTCGAACGCGACTGCGCAAGGCAGAAGCCAGCCTTTCGCCAGCGTCCTCCTCCTCGGAATCCGAGCCATCCGAGCCACTGCGGCCGTCTCGATGCCTGCGCTGCCCTTCGTCGTCATTCTCGTCATCGTCAAGGGCGCCGCGGTTCTTCGCCTTGCGGCGCTCGCGAATCGCAGCTCGGACATCGTCGTACCGGATCTTGCGCGGCTGCTTTGTCACCACAGGTCCAAAGGCGTCCTCATCGACGTCTTCAAGTTCTGCTTTTTGTTCATCGTCGCCTTCATCATCGTCTGCATCTTCGCGTTCGTCAACGCGGCCGTCCCGAGCCTCGTCCTGATCGTCATCCTCGTCGCTGTCCTGCGCCTCAGCGTCCGCATCGCCGGGCTGCGGCAGCAGAAAGTCGTACTTGTCGGACTCGTGTTCGATCTTGTGCGTCGCAACATAGCTGTGAACAAATGCTTTGGCCTCGTCGTGCGCAGCCAGCGCGTCCATGCCGTCTTGCGTGCCGTCGAGCAGCTTTCGCTTCTTCCAAGCAGAGCTCGACATGTGCAAGCCCAGGGCAGCACGCCTCTGCAGCTCTTCTTCATCGGCGTCGTCGTCGAGGAAGCCCTCGATACTATTGAGACCGGCGCCGCGACCTCTTCGATTGCGGTAGCCGCCCTGGATCGCCTTTTGGTGGATCTCGAGATCCTCGCGGTCCCGCGCCTCCATGTCTTCGCGGAAGCGCGCGCGTGCCACCTCGTCCTTCTGCGCCTCGTCGATGTCGCGTTCGTTGTCGACCAGCTCTTGCAGGTCTTCCGCATCCTCGTCCTCTTCGTCATCCTCGTCCTCGTCTTTGCCCGAGTCGCTGCCATTCTCGTCCGCAAAGACGCCCTTGAGCCCGCCGCCATCGCCGCGCTTCTGCTCGCCGAGATCCTCATCTTCCGACTCTTCTGCCTCGCCCTCGATGAAGGCAGACTTGCGCTTCTTGTCTCTGATGGCCGTATCGTCCTCTTCGGTCGGCAACGTGCGACCGAGCAGGATCTTGAAAGCGTCGCGAGGTCTGCCCTCTGGCTGACCGGAAGATGAGCCGCTGCGCTTGTCGGCATTGTCGCGAGCGTCGGCATCCTCCTCTGCTGCTTGTAGAACCCTTGCGCCACCGCGGCGAAGTCGCTTGAGCTGTACAGGGACGTCCTGCTCCTCCTCGTCCTCCAGCACGTCCTTCTCGCCCAATTTGGGGCCGATGAGACTGCCCTCGCTGCCTCGACGCGCAGAGTTGCTAGGCACAGGACGCTGCCAGGCAGCATCAGTGATGGCGCGGTTTCCTTTGCTTGCCGCAGGATCTTGGCTCTGCGACTGGCTCTGCGTGTCGTACTGAGACCAGAAACCCGGCCGCTGGCTTGGCGTGGTCTGAGTGAAGAAGCCGTCGCGATTCATGTACATCTTCTCGGGCGACACGTGTGCGCTGGAGCCGCCGCGCTGTAGCTGAGCGTAAGCGTCGCGCTCCGCCTGACTCTCGTCGAAGCTCGGCAATGCAGAGGGCGTCGGATCGAGCAGCTCCATGGCCGCTCCCATCTGCGCCTTGCGGAGCGCGGCGAAAGCGTCGACCTCGGTCGACTTTGGCGGTGGCATGGAAGAGGCATCCCGGGCGCCGGCGCTGAGCTTGGGAGGCTCAGCCGATGCTTGACTGTGACCGAAAGGCGAAGGACGGCCGTCGTTGAACAGCGCGGTAAGTCCATGTGCCTCTGCTTGGGCGGTCTTGGGGTTCGCAAAGATGTCGAGACTCTCCCCACGCAGCTCCTCGTCCTGGGTTGCGTTAAAGAAGGCTTCCAGTGCCGAGTTGCCCGACGGGTCGCGAGCCATAACCCTTGCGACTTCGTTTGCATGCGGCCGGCCGGCAGCAGCGGATAATTGGCTGGCTCTGGCTCCTTGGTCTTGGCTCTGCGTTTGCGTCTGGGTCTCATCCCAGAAAGACTTGCGCGGAGGCTGCGAAGCGAGTGGGTTGGGCTTGTTCGCTGTTGAGGATGGCATAGTTGACTCGAAGAAGCGGCCAAGGTCAGCAGCTTGCGAAGGAATGTCATCGGTGCGGAAAGATTCGTCCATGTCGTCGCCCGCCGTGGGCGAGAAGATGAGCGGGTCTCGCTCCTCGGCTTCAATCGTCGTCGGAAGCTGAGCATGTTGCGCGACGGGTGATGTGGTGTTGGAGCGCGAAAGGACCATGCTTGGATCGACGATCTGGCTCGAGATGTCCGCGAGTGGGATGCGAGCCCGGTCCGAAGAGGAAGTGGCTTGAGCTGCGACATCCTCACCATGAATAATGGCCTCGAAGGGGCCGGGCTGGAGAGAGCTTTGGTCAGCTTGGCCCTCGGCATCGTCATCAGCGAGAGCGCTGCGCCTGCCTCTTCTCGTGTTGATGCGGGGACCAGGCAGTTCGTCCTCGTCTTCGTCCATCACAGCCCGACTTGGTAGCAGGCTGTGGGCGGGATCGGGTGAGGCTTGCGATCGATGGCTCTGCTGGCTGGCCGGGAGAGGCGCATTCTCCTTGTCGCTGTCGTGTTCCTCTTCAGACTCGTCGAGAGGGTCGTGGGGAGGGACGCTCACGTCGGCTTCCAGAGCATCGGCATGTTGGTTGTCTTCCTGGTCTTCGAGAACACCGCCCAGATCGACAAAGTCGTCGTCGAAATCATCGGGTTCGACCTCACTGGCGCTTCCCATGTCGACATCGCTGCCCATGTCACTGCCGATGACGCTGCCGACGACGGACTCTGCATCACGAGCGATAGGCATGATGTAGTCTGGGTCGTCTTCATCGTGGTCAGCGTGTTGCGCNGCCGACGACGGACTCTGCATCACGAGCGATAGGCATGATGTAGTCTGGGTCGTCTTCATCGTGGTCAGCGTGTTGCGCCTCTGGGCCATCGCGACTGTTGGGGTCGCTCGGCCGGTGGAGATGGTGGAGCATGGCTCGGATGTCGGGAACGGTGGATCTCTGGGATGCGTCGGCAAGCGCGGCGAGCTTCAACTTGGCAGCTGCGTCGTTGGGGTCGCGCTGGATGCGCACTTTGAGCGACTGCGTCTGCATCTGACGCATGAGCGTAGAATTGAGGTCTAGCTGCGACAACTTTGGCGTTGCCTCGCGAGGACCGCCGTGCGGCTGGGATGCGGGTATGGCCGAGTCGCTCTGGTGGAGCTGGGCCGAGGCGACGTGCAGCTGGGTGGCAGGCGGGTTGGGTGCCGCTTGATACGAGGCGGGAAAGAGAGCCTTGCTGGCATTGCGAAGCTGACTGTCGGAGGGCATGCATTCGTCGTCGTCGTCGTGTTGAGGGAGGTGCGGCGGGGCAGAGGCAGCGTTCGGGGAGCCATTGTCGTCGGTGCCACGATAGATGCTTGAACTTTCGGGCTTCTTGCCCGAGAAGATGCCCAATTCTCGATACATGCGGTCGGCGTGCCGCTTCTTGCCAGGCGGGGTGGTGGGTAGGTTGTGCTTTTGAGCGAGGACCGAGCCGGGCCGATACACGACGAGGTCCTGGTCATCGCCGTCGTCGCCGTCGTCGCCGTCGCCGACTGGAGTGTCGCCCGGGAGGGAGTGGTGCGCGACGCCCAGGTGCTGCGAGGTTGGCTGCGACGAAGATGGCTGGCGCGCATTTTGGAGAAGACGAAGCTTGATCTGTTGAACGCCTTGCTGATATCGCGCGGTCAACTCTTGGGCTTGCTTGTGGATGCGAGCCGTCTCGATGAGCGAAGCCAGATCCGGAAGATCGGCGTCGACGTCATCGTCGTCTTGCGTGTCGGTGATGGCCGTTGGCGGCTGCGATGCGCTGGCGAGTTCGGGACGGTGGGCGAGGCCGGAGGAGACGCTCGGCATGTGGAGGTTGGGGTCGATGTGGCGGCGTTGGTCGTGCTTGCGTGAGAGGGGCACGAGCGGGCTGCTTGCGTGGTTGGGATGGGGACTGGAGCGCTCGCGGATGGGATCGGATTCGATGGGGTCGGAGTTGTGCAGGCTCTTTGACTGTCCGGAAGGGATTTGGGACGAGGCGTGGCCGGAGGAAGCGGTAGGAGGATGTGACAGAGGCGGCTCGGGGGGAGTGGGTGTGGCATGGCTGTCGTCGCTGTGTGGAGTTTCCTTGCCGGTGATCTTGCTGAAGAGCTGGCCGAGGCCGATTGTCTTCTTGGGCTGGGAGCCGTCGATGCGGACGCGATTCTCGCGCGCGAGGCGAGCGGTCTGTTTGTGCATGGAATCGAGCTCCTTGTGGGAGAGTGGCTTGATCTTGGGCGGCACGTGCGTGGAGGCGGAG